TGGCAAATGTTCCTCCTGCTCTAGCCCAGGAGCTGTGGAGGCATTCGGACGTGAGAGGCGAAGCTGTGAGGCTTGACTCAGGCGAAGCGTGTAGTTCTGCGGCTGAAGAACCCCGGCAGCCTTCGGTATTCGCGAGCTCAGTTGCAACAGTGGTACAATGGGAAGTACAGTCCTCCTATTCCTTCAAGCAAACGTCCCACATCAATCTCCAAGAAGCACGAGCGCTGAAGAAAGAAATTGTGGCCATAGCCAGCGATCCGAAGGCTGCTGGGACCATTCAGATCTGCCTGAACGACAGCCGGGTTGTGATCGGAGCTGCCTCCAAAGGAAGGTCATCAAGCTTCAAGCTAAACGGCATTTTACGGACAATGCTACCTTTCCTGATTTTTGGTGACATCTCACTTGCTTTACTTTGGGTGGAGACTTCGTGCAACCCGGCAGACCACCCCTCGCGGTTTGTTCCTTTGCCACCTCCGAGGAGCCCCGTTAGCTGGATGCAAAAATTTGGGTTGTTTGGTGAACGCTTTCCTGGTCTAGAGGTGTTTGCAGGCACTGCTAGATTGACGCAGACTTGTTTGCAAATGTGTATTGCTATGTATACAGCTGTGGATATCTTGTTTGGCATAGATGCCTTTGAACCTTGGATTGAGAAGCTCCTTGAAGCAGGCAGAGTCGGTTTTATATGGCTGGCGCCCCCCTTGCGGTTCTTTCTCTGGACTGAGAAACCTAGACCGGGGTGGTCCATTGCGGCCCGCCGGCTGTCCTCAGGGAGATGAAAGGAATGCGGAGGTGCGTTTGGGCAACCGCCTGTGGAGGCGGGCTTTGAAGCTGGCTTGCTTAGCTCACAAACATGGAATCCCTTTCTTTTTGGAACACCCTTCAGGAAGCAAGGCTTGGCTTTTGAAGGAGACACAGAAAGTGATGTGTTTGGCGGGGGCGAAACTGTACAGGGTTCATTGGTGTGCATATGAGGACGAAATCCGGCCAGGAAACCCAAACCCAAAGCCGACAAAAATTTTGGGCACAGGAGTTTGGTTGGGGGAAGTGGCGCGTCTTTGTCCGGGCGAGCATGAACACGGAAAGCCTTTGAGAGGTGTGCGAGCAAAGTTGGCTGGAGCCTACCCCCTAGGTTTTTGCCGTGAGTTTGCAGAGGCGTACATCGCTCGCTATGGTCCGTTTGCGAGACGTAGGGCTCTCGAAGTCCTACCGACGGAGCTTGCGTGAGGCTGGGAGAGAAATGCTGCAGCGACTTCATCGTCGGGGGTTCGCTGTGACGGCAAAGACCCCGGCGCCCACATTGGATCGTTGGTTGGAAACTATAGTAGAAGAGGCTCGTGTTTGTGGCGAAAGGCTCTACAAACTGACTTTAGGGGTTCTTGCTTTACAGCGAGCTCTGAACATTTCGGGGAGCCTGCTGCGGGGCACCTGGCGCGCAATTCAAGGATGGCGCTCTCTAGCTCCAGTGCGCTCTCGGACCCCCATCACAGCTTTTTGTCTAGAGGGCGTAGTCCTCAAGAGTCTTCTAGAAGGGTGGCAAGAAGAAGGGTGGCAGCGGTTGTTGTTTTGGTCAAGTAGCTTGGCACTTTGGTTAGGCTTTGCAGCGCTTTTGCGGCCGGGTGAGGTGTTGAAGCTCAGAGTGGGCGACGTGTCTTTTTCGACTGGTGGCGGTCGTGGCTCTGTTGATCCGGGATTCGTGTTGGTTGTGCAAAGTCCAAAAACGAAACGTATCTGGCATAAGCAGTTTGTCCTTTGCAAAGATGAGAGGCTAGAGCGCTGGTTGCGTTGGTGGGTACAGGATACTCCTCGTACCTGGCTACTCTTTCCCCTCACACGATATGTTTGGAACAAACATTTTGGGATCGTTTTACAAAATTTGGGTCTTGGCCACTGCAACTATACTCTTGGGTCCTTGCGTGTTGGTGGCGCCACTCATCTTTTCCGGAAGAACAGCAACCTGGGGGAACTACAGTTTTTGGGCAGGTGGGCTTCATCCAACACCCTACAGTTTTACTTACAAGGGGCGTTTGCAGCCTTTGTTGAAGCGCAGCACAGCCATTCGTCAGACGAATTGCTGACAGTTTTGCATGACCGAATACACCTGCTCAATCAACCTCCTCGAAGTTCCCTTCGGCATCTTGTAGGTAGTGCAGCTCATGCCTCGGCGCGAAGAGTTGGCCCGAACTCTCGAAGAGCTGGCTAGAAATGGAAGGCCCTAGAGCTCACTCTCAAGGGTCACGCCCTACAAGGCAGCGGAGCAAGGCTGCGCCGAGTGGAGAGCCCAGAGGATGGACAGAAGATCTGGGAAGCAGCATTCCCAGGTCGGCCAATGCCAGTAGTGCGTCCGGCCATGATGGAGGTAGTGGTGAGGGGGACCAAGTCAAGCGGACTCTTGAAAGAGCGGTGAATGAACTTTCACCGACTGAGTTGGGAGCCCTTCAGGATGGAGCGTTTAGGGAGCAAGCCTCCCGATGGCGCTCCGGGCCAGGATCCCGTCGTTTGCATGCTGCTTTTGCCAGGTTTTTGAATGCAGTCTACGCTGTGAAGCCAGGATGGAAAGCTGAGGTGAATTCAAAAGAAGCCCCAGCACCAGTTGAACCACTGCCGCTGCGGGCCCTGCCTTTGAACAAGGCGACCCGCTGGTACCACAACCTGAGCCAGGTGGGCACCTTCTTGCAGAGCTATTGGAGGACAGTGTGTGGAACGCTGCTGCTTTTGTGCTTCCCCCGGATTTTAGCTGCTTTGGTGGCTCTGGTCATTCGGCTGATGATTCGAGCTTTGGCGGCCACCTCAATGCGGATCTTGCAAGAAGTATGGTCTGAATTTGGCGGAGTCGTCCAACAACTTGCTTCTATGACTTCAGCTGTGGAACAGCTGATGGTACAAAACCTGGAGCGTTTACTTGGTGGTCCTTTGGCCCCCGCCGAGCATCCTCCAGTGGCAGTTGGCCTGGGCGGCCCTGAGACCTCATTGGGTGGGGGTGGGGGAGCACCCCCTCCCATCCCTCCCAACCAATTCCTCACCAATGCCCTCTTGGCCTTGAACTTGGTTGTGCAGCTGCGTCCCCACTGGCGAGGTGGGGTGGGACAGTGATGGCCTGGCTGTCCAGGCCGATGTACCTATAGCGGCAGATGCCGCAACCTTGAACAAAAGACCTCGATTGGTGCAGACCCAAGCAAAAGAAGGGCTTGGGAATGCTTGTGCAGCGGCTGAGGCGAGTGAACCCATGGAAGTTGCACAAATAGCTTTTTCATTTGTGAACGACAGTCTTTGCTGAAAGCAAAGGGGGAACACCACGGCCACTGGCCCAAGCGGTTTTTGTGAGCCGCCACCTCCCCGCCACCACCCTAAGGGCATCGCATTACTACTAGTAACAAGAAGCTACTAGTAGCAAGGTGCCTTACTAGTAGTAGTAAGGGCATTACTACTGGTAGCTAGAAGCTACTAGTAACAAGGGCATCGCTACTAGTTCACATAATTAGGCATACTCTATCCAGTGAGGGAAGAACAGAATCATCACATTCAACACCCGAGTAAGCACGTCGTAAAAGGCACATCAAATCCATATTTCCTTTCAATGGATGACAACAGCATCAAATGTAAACATGTTCTACAAACAAAACACATCATGAATGAGCTATCTTCGGACAATGTGATTAGATCGTTTGCGTCTTCATTTGCAGAAGATATCGAGGCGCAAGCATTTGCAGAAGACGTGACTCGCAGCTGGGAAGATATCGAGGCGAAGGAGCTGAGTGGACAGAAATTGCAAGGTCCATCGACTTGTATTGATGATCCTCGGCCAAGAGCTGGACACAATGTTCGCTACTAGTAACAAAAAGCTATTAGGAACAACTGCATCGCTTCTAGTAACAGGTGCCTTACTAGTAGTAACAAGAAGCTACTAGGGGCTCCTGGCATCGCTACTAGGAGCACGGACACTACTAGTAGCTCCTGGCATCGCTACTAGTAACAAGAAGCTACTAGTAGTAGTAATGCACTTGTTACTAGTAGCGATGCACCTGTTACTAGCAGCAAGACGCTACTAGTAACAAGAGCATGAAGGCTTCATGAAGGGTTTTAGGGTTTAGGATGAGCCTCGGCCAAGAGATGGACATAATGTTCAATGAATTTCAGTGAACAGAGCACTTGTTACTAATAGCTTCTTGTTACTACTAGTAAGGCACCTGTTACTACTAGCGTGGCACTTGTTACTAATAGAGCAAATATTAATATGAGTTTTCCACTCAGAATTCCACAAATACCAGATATTGTTTTACTCTATTTGCTTGGTATGTCTATATAATCTGTCTATAGAAGAAACATGCAAGTGTTCTTTGTAAGGTGCAGAGCATCATCGATAAGCGCGGCCTGCGGAAGAAATTTCCACTCTTCACTGCAATATACAGAGCAGTGATAAAAGAGATTACACCAGATGAAGTGTTTAAATGTATTGGCATTGGGACCAGTTGAAGCAAGCTGCTTGCTTGGTGTGCCAGGTTTCAGTGCTTTGTGCAGGATGATCCAATTCGGTTTGAGCAGCACAGCTGTGCAATCTGGAGGAACGTGCCTTGTGCGCCTCGTGCCGAAGCACGGCTCTGGAAATCGTTTGCAAAAAGCCGCAGGAGCAAGGGCATCGCTACGAACGGGGCTCCTGGCATCGCTACTAGGAGCAAGGAAGCTACTAGGAGCAAAGGGCATCGCTACTAGGAGCAAGAAGCTACGAACGGGGCTCCTGGCCTTACTGCTGAGTGTACTAGGAGCAAGGACGCTACTAGGAGCAGTTTTGCATGCCAAACATGCTCTCAGAGTTGGTGATCGAAGAGAGGAAGAAAGAAAGGGCAGAAAAACAAGAGGACCAACCAATAATAAAAGGAAAGGAAAGAGAAACATCAGGAAAGTATGTTTCTGAAATCTAGTTTTCAACTCTTTGAGGGGGCACGTATTCAATCCTTGAGATGCACAGCCTGCGGTGCATGCTTGCATGGCATGCTGCGCGCCAGGGGCTGTCGAAATATCATGACAAGAATCCGTACGCCTTCGGAGATGGCCCACCGCTGCAGTATGACCCAGCAGAGGACAGAGTGAGCTGTTTGAGCTGGTTGAGACTAAGCACTTTGATAATCTTTTTGACAGGGGGAACATTGCAACTATCACGTGCTATTGCAAGTAATTAGTTTGCCACGGACCTGGTAATCTTACAAACTCTTGTTTCGTCATAAACGTGCGGTTCCGCAATGGTATACTGATGTATACAGTGCAGAAACAATTGTGTTTTGAGCAAGGTTTCAGTCTTTGGGCCTTGTTTGTGTTTTGCAGGAGTTATCTATTCATTAGTATTAACTATAATGTGTTTCTTCGAGTTTTTACTTTTTTTTGGGGGGTCTCCATCATTGAGCAAGTACAATTGACCAACTTGTCAGCATGTTTGCGACTGTTTGGATTTGCATGTTTCAAGATGATATTAACTGGTTCAGCATGTTTGGTTGTCAGTGATCCATGGATCAACAGGTGAAATGTCATAAAGCCTGTCAAAACGATCTAAATGTATGGGCACGCAGCTTGTGGTGATGTGTTAGTGTTTTTTCTCAATCCTTTTGCGATATTTAGAAGGAGGCTATTGCTATTAGGTTGGAGGCCATCACTACTAGGTTGGAGGCCTACTAGGTTGGAGTCCATCACTATTAGGTTGGAGGCCATGACTATTAGATTGGAGGCCATCGCTACTAGGTTGGAGGCTATTGCTACTAGGTTGCAGGCCCATCGCTACGGTTGGAGGCCATTCATAGTAGGTTGGTAGGTCTTTCTTTTGCCACCAGAATGTAGGGTTTGTGTCATGCAAGATTCGACATGGACCCCCCCTGCAAAATGCTTTGCCTGTAAACAGAGAACCAGAGCAGCACCAGGGAATTAAATCAAACATGCAACCTGTGTAGCTTGTAACCCCACAAGCGAGACAAGTAGAGGATGGCTCCCCCAACCCCCAACTGAAGATATTCCATGTCACATGTCCAACATTGTCATTTTTGCAAGACTGACTTTCCTTTCGAAGGCCACGACCATTATCATGGGCGGCAACTCGAACTGGCGTGGGCCTGTTTGGTGCTCTGGGCATTGCTTGCCTCTTGCCTTACCGGCGCTATAGCGATGGCCTCCGACCTGTAGAACGGCTTGGTGTTGTGCCAGGTTTCCCATCAACTACCTTCTGATCGAGTCCCTGCAAAAGCCTGGCTCTTGCGCCAATTTAAGGTGTTTGCTGAGAGGATCACAAGCATGATATTTGCCAATTTAAGGTTCCATCAGTACTACGGCGATGACTACTTGGTCGAGTTCCCAACAGGGTCTGGCCAAAAGGCCCGATTAGAGGGTTCCGGGAGGCAAGACAAGAGGACTCTTCAACGAAACTTCTTTTCATCAAGTGATCTTACTAACTGTTGTTTTCAAGTACGTAGTCCTGTTCTTTTGTTTCGCTAGATGCCAAGAACTCATGGTTGGCGCAGATGAACATTCTCAAGATCGCTGATGAGCTCTCTGAGCGACTCATCAAGATCTTTGAACGGGACCAGGCCACTTTCGTGGGCTTTTCCTACATGTTTAAAATAGGTTTCAGGAAAGCACCATCTGAGGCCATCGCTAGTAGGTTGGAGGCCATTGCTTCTATGTTGGAGGCCATGGCTATTAGGTTGGAGGCCATTGAGGATAGTCGATGCTGAAATGTTGGTTCAAGGCTTGTAGATCTGTGGCTTCCATGGGCCACTGCAAGCGGTTGGCAGGTTGATTTCTGCACTCTTCTAGGATTACTATTTGCGACCATGCCTACACGTTCACATCCGAACTCATGTTTGTGCAAGCCACCAGGTCAACACTAGCACATATCAAGATTTGTAGCACCAAGATACGCATGTGAAAGTCTACATGCTTCCACACACATGTGCATAGACATTCCTAGACCACGCATGTGCATGAAAGTCATCAGGTCAACATATGCACCAAGCCTTTATGTTGAGTCCGCTTCTTGTTTTGTTCAGGTGATGTTCATGTCAGGTATGCCCTCAGCTCGTGCAGAGTTGGATGCCAGTATATGATGTCAGTTCGTGTGACGCTGTGCTGATGGTAGTAAGCTTGTCATGCTAAGATCCCCAGACGTAAGGTGCGTCTATGGTGGGCCTTTAGTTTATACTGTAAGACAGGACCCTTTTTGCACGAATGTGTGTGTGTGTGTGAGAGAACAAGAAGCTGAATCTCGGTGATTCTACTTTGTTCTTTTGAGTGATGCTGGCCCAACAACACTGGAAAGAAAGACTAAAAACTGAGGAAAGCTGGTCAGAAATGAGAAGAGACAATGCATTTGCTTAGTGACTGAATGTCTAGCACCAGCCTGACGGCTTCTGAAAGGTCATGAGTCATCAGTTTTGTTTATTTCACATATCACTATTAGGTTGTAGGCCATCGCTAGTAGGTTGGAGGCCATCGCCCTTCAATGAAGGTGCATGTTGCTTTTGTTGTGCTGAGGTTTGGTTGTGTGGTTTGTCAATGTTTGGTTTCCAAACTGGTTCCGCATGACCACGAGACCCACTGGAGGTTGAGGTTGTGCGGAGTGAATGGCAGGATGGCTACCGACCAGGGATGAATTTGCACCCAAAGATGAAGGAAGACCATTTTCATGAGAACATCCTTTTCTATGAGTGCCCAGAAGCGATCATTTTGATTGGATTATTACACTTTTTGGCCTTATAGTAACAAGGACGCTTTTAGGTGGAGGCCATCGCAAGTAGGTTGGAGGCCATTGCTACTAGTAACAAGAAGCTACTAGTAGCAAGGGTATCATATTCCTTTTACGTGTGAGGAACATTTTGGGCAGGTACTTCCATGGAGACAATGGCAGAGGTGTTGGCTCCTCGCACCAAACTGGTTGGACGGGCCTTGTGGCCAAATTGCCACTCTGGCATTGTTAGACCGTGGCTGTGAAACCTGTGTTAGACATTGAGTGCAGTAACAAGTGCATCGCTACTAGTAACAAGTGCATTAGCACTAGTAGCTAGCAGCTACTAGTACGTTAGTACATCATAGTTGCAGATGCTTAAACGCCGGCAACGTGCCGCCCGTTTGGTGGAAAGCTGTCGTTGGTGGGTTGCGTTTGCTTTCTCCAGCACGGTTTTGCTGTCCAGTTTGTGTCCAACGCCTCTTTCTCAGACTGCCGTACTTAATCTAATGGGAAACACGAAATGCAAAGGAAAGACGCTGGAAGAGTTTGCCCAAGAAATTTGGAACCACAGGTTGTTAGTGCGGGTCAACGATTCAAAGAGCACAGTACCGCCATGAAGAATCAGCATAACTATATATTCATTGTGGTTCTGAACGCACATCTCTCACACTTCCAAGAATGACACGTTAGGAATGAGAACGTACGATTGCAAAGCCCGATCCCCAAAGTCGCGAAAGACCTTCCAAAATCGTCCAAATAATTACACCCGCTCATGCCCTTGCCCCTGTCCTTATGTCATATGTCCTTTCTCATGCCTGGAGAAGCGTTCTGTGTATGTACTGTGCAAGTCACTGCACAATATGTGTTCACATTGTAACACTGAGCGAGCTATAGGAAAGTGCTTGATTGAAAAAGCGTGCCAGGATTCAAGCTAGAGGCAGAGAGGACGCACACGAGTCCTAATTTTTCGGTGGCGGCATGTCTCGTAGAGATGTTTGCCACGATTGCTTTTAATGTTGCGAAAAGGATGGACTGCTGGGCTGTGCACAACGATGTTTGACAGAGTGCTTTCCAAAGATCTTCTCTAGACAGAAACAGTGTACACGCTAGCTTCATGGATGTTTGCCGCAGCCATGTCAGCTGTCAAGACCAAAAGGACAAAAGCACACAGCTAGCAAACTGAAGTTGACTGGCTGCATTTGCGCAGTACGAGTGGCTTGAATTGAGCACCACAGCGTAGCAGGACGCAGGCTCTATATACTTGATATCTCATCCAGCAGAATGCCACTGGATGCGTCCCTGAAGCAGCTCCAAATCAAGGTGCGGATGTGAACTGCGACATCTAAAAGGTTTACAAGAGAACCAAAAAGGATGTTTTTCTAACCCCGCTCCTACTTGATTAAGTAGTCGCCTACTTCATTCAGTAAGGGAGTAAGCTTCTAGCTACTTAAGCTACTACACACTGGACGCAGGATAGCTCACGCTTCTTCAAGGAAGCTCCCCGCACCTGAGGGCGGGGGGGAGCTTCCTTGAAGAAGCGCTCGCACTAGTGATTTGATTCCTAGATTTTAGGGAAACCACTAGCGATGGCCTCCACCCTAAGAGCGATGGCCTCCAACCTAATAGCGTCTTTGCTACTACTCGTAGTAGCGTTCTTGTTCCTAGTAGTACGGCCAGGAGCCCCTAGTAGCGATTTAGATGGATTTATATAAACTCGTCCTTTTTGTAATCTCTTTTTCGGCGTGAACGGTGCTACGAAAAGGTGGGCACGGTGAAGCGCACCAAGAAGGCCCGAGCCGCACACTGGAGGGATCCGTATGATCCGTAGTCATTGAACATGTGAGGAATATGAATCCTACGTTGCCGAAGAGGCCGGCCCGTTCTTTTGTGACATCGTTCTTGTGGCCTGAAGGGTTGGCAAGAAAGCTTGAAGTTCGATGATTGGGTGTTCAACATTGTGTTGCCGCATGGTGGTGAAAGTAGAAGGTGTGGCAATTCACCACTGCGGGGTGTTTGTCTTTGGTGGCACTGACCAGGGCGTGCAGAGAGCAAAGATAGAGGGCATGAAGGTTGAAGGAAAAGAAGAGGCACGGAGATGCATTGGTGCTCAGATAGATTCGAGGAAACTCTGTTGCATCAGTCCCCCTGGAGAAGCTAGTAGTAACAAGTGCCACGCTAGTAGTAACAAGTGCCTTACTAGTAGTAACAATGTTTGCTATTAGAAACAAGAAGCTAAGGCATCAGTCCTTGTTTTTGGACGGAACTCGGCGGACGAGTTCCGGCCGGCGTTTGCAATCCTGAACTCGTCCAGCCACTCTTGGAAACAAACTCTAGTAGCGTCCTTGCTCCGTTCGTAGTATGGCAAGGAGCCCCTAGTAGCCCCTAGTAAGTAGCGTCCTTGCTCCGTTCGTAGCAATGCCCTTTGCTCCTAGTAGCTTCTTGTTCCTAGCAATAAGGCCAGGAGCCCCTAGTAGCTTCTGGCTACTGTGCGTTTCTTGAAGGTGGTGATGGTTTGATAGACCTGTGCACTGCACACGCGTTTGTTCAGTCGGTGCACACGATCAATCAATCGAGGGAACCCATGCTGCTACTCGTACCCCCACGCCCCCAGGACAGTGTAAGCGGAGCAAGGCTGCTTGACCGACGAATCCCAGGGAGAAGCAAAATTCAACTTGCAACAAAGAAAGTGTCTAGCTCCAAGTCCAATTTTGGTACTAATTTGAAGACAATTGGATCCCCAGTTAGACCCCAAATTAGACTGTAAGTTCAAAATTAGCGCATTAGGTTGGAGGCCATCGCTAGTAGGTTGGAGGCCGAACTCCAAGCGACGTGACTCAGTGGCGATCCAGATCGACACCTTTGGTACTTTCACGTGTGCGGGCAGTCGCTCGAAAGAGATGAACCGAAAACACATGCGAACATATGGTTGCGTATCCACCTCGTGTTTTGCTAATACCTTATGCACTTTCAGTTCAGCAACATGTGCATCACTGAACATCCTGAAAACACCTGAAAACATTACCCAAAGTTGACAAGACACGGTACGTTGTCAATTCATAGTGGTGCAACAACATGTTGGGTCAACGGGGGGGTTGCCCGGAAAGGCAACCTTTCCGATGATTCAACATGGTCTGGTGGGATGCAGATGATCCACTTCGCTGACGACGGTGATGATGATCATGATTGTTATTGTTGTTATTATGAAATTATGATAATGATTATGATGAGCTGATACGCTAAGTGCAAGATGCGGATGATGCGCTGATGCATTATGATGTGGATGACGAGCTGCTGCCCTACGTGTATGATGCGGACGATGTGCTGATGCGTTACGGGCATGGTGTGTAGCATGAGCTGATGATGGATGTATTGAAACCCACTCAAGTCATCATTGTTTTGGAGTTCATGAACTCCCAGACGATGAGTTGAGTGGCCCGAGAGGCAAAGCACCCTGTAAAATGCAGCGGTTTTCTAGCTCTCAGCATGTTGCTTTCGAGGCAAACCCTCCCCGTTTACCCAACATGTTGCATCGGGAACAGTCGTACCGTACAGCCTGTGACACGTGTGTTTTTCGCTTTGCCCTGCCACCCAACTCGCGTTTCAAAAAAAACTAGGAACCAAATGAATAGTGCGAGCGCTTCTTCAAGGAACTCCCCCCTGCCACCTTTGGGAGGCGGGGGAGCTTCCTTGAAGAAGCGTGAGCTATCCTGCATCCATACTAGTTACTAGTAGCTCAAGTAAGGTAATTACAAGCTACCTCTTCTACGAGCTGCCTACCTCTAGCTACTACCTACCTCTAGCGGCCTACCCGCTCTCCGGAAAAGGGTCTCCCGCTCCAAACATTCGCTTTCGCTTTCGCTCAAGGCCGATATCAAGAAACAAATGGAGGTGCTGAATGTACCTGGACAGAGTTGGCAGAAGACCCACACTCTCACTGTTAAAGTGCGATCCAAGGACACTCTCACCGTCATTCCCGATTCTCGACAACGACTTCAAAAGTGCAGCTGGCTGTTTTGTTTTGAAAAGGCCAATTGTCATGACTCGTGACGTTTCTTGCTTGAATGCTTCGTGAATGCACTCGAATACATTCATACGGATGTTTGAACCAAGCGAGGTATGCTGTGGAGCTGCGAGACTTCCTGGCCAGCGATCAGGAGCAAGCCGGCCTCCAAAAATGGCCTCCAACCTAGAAGCGATGGCCTCCACCTAGTAGCTTCTAGTTACTTGAAAGCTTCAAAGACATACTGTACTCGAAAGCTTTATTGTTAGTAGAGATGGCCTCTAACCTAGCGATAAAAGCCTTGGAACTGGTGCATGCGGATTTGATTCCTCTCGGTCCACAGCGCAATTTTTTCGATCCGTGTGCACGTTTCCACTTGTGATCTCTAGCTGTAATTATGCTAGTACTAGGAACAAGGTTCGCTACTAGGAACAAGTGCATCGCTTCTAGTAAC